CACCATAACTAAACAGAGGTTTTAGACCTCCAACAACTAAACTGAGAGAGGTTCGAGACATCCAACAACTAAACTGAGACAAGTTGGAGACTTCTCCTTGAAGGTTTTATGCCATCAAGTCGCAGTGATTTAACTTTTGTATTCAGTTCCTACCAATAAAATGCTGTAATGTGTTTACATAATAAGAATTAAAAACTTCACACATCTTTCATCTTTTACTTAAATCTAGAGCTGCATTTTTATTTTTTGGCAACAGAACTGAACTTGAGGCAAATTTTGCATGAAGTTCATGCAAACTTGTCATTCAGTTTGAGACCTGGTGAAGATTGGTATAGTTTCTCTTCATTCACTATTTTGTGTCTCCATCGAGTCCAAAACAGTCTCAGTTCAATCTCAGATGTTGTGTTTTGGGTAAACATTTTGAATAAATCATTAAACAAGTCTAGACACTTGAAGGCTCGTTGAAACATTAATAAAACTAAACCAGTTCTTTCTTCGTGAGAGGATCTCTGTAGACTTCAGAAAAACGACTGAACGAGGTCTCAACATGAAGACAATTCCCTCGTCCTCTCACAGACCTTCATCTCCGCTCCTCGCTTGCAGCTCACTTACATCAGCCTCCTAAAACCAAGAGCAATCCTCCGTTATTTGGCGATTTCCTAACAGGAGTTTGTTTCGTGCAGCTTTAGTTTCTGTTCTCAGGAAACTTGACTTTTAGATGAGCTGAGAATAAAATGGTTATGAGCATTTATGTGTTACTGGTGCATTGATCCATCCTGGCCTCAGTGCTGCAGAATTATTAACTACTAATGAGAACCGTTCCATGTTGCGCTGATAATCAAGTTTCTTTAAAAAGCACATTTAAAACCACCACAAATAATATCAGAAAATAGACAAACTCAACAAAACAATAACTTATTTTAAAAGATCAAAGAAACGCCTGCAGTCTGTGGACCCGTCTGATGGTTCAGAGGAGATATTTAATAGGTGAGCAGGAAATCTGACTTCTTAATCAGTAATGCGTTTTCCTTAGACATAAACGAGCTTTAATATCGACCGTGGACGTGCAGAAGCTCTGCTGGGAAACGATGTAACGACTCCTGGATGCTTGACTTTGCACGCAGCAGGGTGGTCCTAAAGATCTGCAGCAAAACTGGAAGTTTTCACATTTATTTTTTGAATTTTGTACACATTTTAGTACCTAAAATGTGTACTTTTCTCTTGTTTTAAGTAAGAATTAATACATAATCAATCAGGTAAATATTAGATGTAAACAAGTTTTATTTTTTGTTGTAGATAATTTAATTATTTCACTTAAATTCATTTAAATCTACAGTCTAAGACTTTAGAAAGGGACACAAAGGTCTGACTTGTCTGTAAAATGTTCCAAAACATTTAATCTGTACAAAAATATTGTATTTTTTTGTCAATTAAACATCCAAATAAATGATTGTGGTTTTAAAGTAAAACTGAAAGAATTTTAGAATGTTAAATGTTGAATGACAAATCTTTATTTTGTTTTTAATTTACAGTTTATTACTGAAGTAATTGTTGTTGTTTGTATTTTTTGTCTGATGAAACTTTTTATCTTTCTCAACAAAGTGTTTTGTCTGACTTTTGAGACATAAAATAAAAATATTTGATCCGTTTTCTTCTGGTCTGAATTTGTTTTTTTTCTCACAATTAAAATAAATAATAAAAATGATTTTAGATGTTCCAACTTTTCATATCATATGCACAAAAATTGCTTAAACATATTCACGTTTTCACCTTGGGATCAGCAGAGCTGAGTGTCCGACTTATGGACAAAAAACAAACAAACAAACAAACAAACACTTATTGTCAATAATAAAGATTTAGAATGAATCTAAATCTTTTCAGATGCATACAAATAAATAATTAGTTTTAATAAAATCATGACTCTTCATATTTAAGCATCTGAAGAAGCTGAAGTGTTCAAATGAGCCCAAATATTCTTTAAAATAAAATAAAAAGATAAATTCAACAGATGTCACTGCCTCCAAACCCACTTTTCAAATTAAGAGCTGATATTCCTAAAACAAGCAGGGTTTTATTATGAAAGGACTAAAATTCAATTAGAAGTAAATAAATATTCCATCTGTTATTAAAGATTTTAAAACCACATATCACTTTTTTTTTTTTTTACATGAAACCCAAGTTTTTACACTCCTGTGATTAAAAAAAAAAAATTTTTTTTAAATAGTTTGTTTCTGGTTCAAGGGTCCAAGATTTATTCAGTTTTTAAAGTGTGTCAACAGAATAATCTTATGAACTAACAGATGGACTTTAATGAAACCTTTTGGAGTCAAATTAACTCAAGATGGCCACCACAGCTAAGTAACCTTAGCAAACACGAACATGGCTGTACAGCTCGACATTGATTCTTCATGTTGAAATAATCTAACAACATGAATCAATGTTTTTAATAACTAAGACTACAACATTAATCTGTGTTTATATTGTTTAAAAAAATAATAAAAAGTCCAAAGATAAAGATATGGTGAGCGAAACTGCCAAAACAGTGTTTGAAAACTACTTTTATTTGAGCTTAAATAAATAAAATACATATTAAACACACAGTGAAGGCATTACTGGCTGGAGACACATTCACAGGAATATCGGGCAACATTAAAAAATCTGCAGTTTAATAAAGTCAAGAAGATTTTTTCAGTTTGGAACAGAAACCTTTGGTTTAATTCAGTGATGCCGTCCTGAGAGAAGGTCCAGGGACGGTAGAAAAGAAATACCGAGACATAAACTTACAGATAATAATAAAGTCTAATTTATAGTGCTTTTCTTTTATTCATCTTAGCTTCCTATGAGACAAAGTCTATTGGTGCTCTTTGTATAACCCCCCCAAAATGTATTTGCTATATTTGTTAGTTTTAAGAAATCCAACATTTTAGAGCTGCTCGTTTGATTGAATTTATTGATTATGATTAAAAATAATAAACATTCAAGTTGTGCTTTGCTCATTTTGGTAAAAACAAAACAAAGTTTGTACAGTAAGCATGCGGCTACAGCTAGTACACTATTAGCTTAGCTTCTCTTAGCTTAACGTTAAAAACTGAAAATGGAAGAAAAGTCAGCTCTGTTAAAAGTGCCGGCACTTTTTAATCAACAACCTTTCGTCAACTGCGGTGAAACATTTTTTAAAGATTAAAAAAGGAAAATAAAGGAGCTAAAAGTGAACAATGCTAGCTGCTTCTCCTGTTCGGTTTAAGCTAAGTTAAGCTAAGCTAAGCAAAGCTAAGAGGCTGTTGCTCCATATTTACAGAACAAGAAAACAAATAATAGTTTTCTTAATAGGTCAAAACTATAGGTCTTGTTAAGAGTACACATATTTTCAAAGTTTTGTTAGTCTTTTCAAATGTTAAATAAACTTTGCATACCGGTACATATGTTCAGCTTCGTCAGACGTGTTCGAATAGTAAAATTTGGCTGCTTTTAAATATTTGTTGTTCTTATTTTTGACTGCTCTCTTCTTCGGGAGTTAATTCTTCATGTGATCCAAAATGAATTTAAACATCATTTAAATGGGATAAAAATAAAATGTTGGGAGGACGAGTTCGCTGCGCTGAAAAGAACGCTGGTGTCGGAGTCACACAGGAAACAGAGGAAATCTAAGTTTGGACATTTTAAACGTGTCGGCTGGTGAAGATGGAAGCATGTAATTAAATAAAACAACGCACGTTACAAGCTTGAGTGCGTTTGTGTCAGTGGAAGGAGAAGCCGGAGGTTGGGAGACCACCGCACCACTGACTGATGAACTGGAGGACGTCCTGACACTCTGGGCTGTGAGTGGTCTGCAGAGAAAAATCAACATGACTAAAAACAAATACAGTCCAGCGTAAGAGAGCAAGACATCATCATTCCTCGTTAGATTGTTTATTTGTGGATGTATCAGTAAACAAGTCGGATGATTGCAAAAACAAAACAGTGAATAATTTAGTGCCACCTAGTGGCAACATAAAAGATTGCAACCAACTCATCCCGTTAAAATCATTCCCCTGAAAAAGAAACGCAACAAAAAAGGAGAAATCTCCAGTGGGAAACAGTAATTAGTATTTAGGATATCCTGATGCATGTTCAATAATCTGGGTAGAAAAATCTAAAAAAAAAAAAACCCATTTAGGATACTTTATATACAGTATTATATACTGCACAAACTGATTACCATAACCTCTGGTCTATAAGCTGCTACTTTTTTCACAGGCTTTGAACACCGCGGCTCATACAATGCTGTGGTTAATTTATGGATTTTTTATTTTGACAGGCTAACGAGCTTCCTGCCACCAAAACATTTAGCTTCATCACACCCGGGCGCTCAC